ATCCCACATATGAGGGCCAGTGACACTGCCCTCCACAGCTAAGATGCTGAACAACAGCTCAACCTGGAGCTGGGCTGCTGTGAGTCGCCAGCGACGGCGTGGGCTGCAGTCCCTGTGGCAGTGGGTTGCCATGGGCTACCGTGTGTAGCCAGCAGCCGCAGTGAGCGGCCGTCCAGAAGCCGCGACTGATCTGCCTCACCCAGGAAGAACACAAGGATGGTGCCAACTTGGGCCAGTGAAGCAACGTCCTCCACAACTAGACTGGAGACCAAAACAACAGCAACTTGTCTGTTCCCCTTCCCCAATTCCCCAGCGCTGTTCCCATCCCCCCAATTCCCCAATAAAAATCTTTAAAAAAAAAACAAACAAAAAAACTAATCCCTGATATGAACCTATTTGCTTTTTTTCTTGGTTGAGTTTTAAGACCATCTTAGTTGTAGAGGGCACAGCGTCACTGACCCTAATGTGGGATCTGAACCGGAGCCCTACTGCTCAGAGCTGGTGTCCCAAGCAAACTCTTAACCAATGCGCCACCCGGCTGACCCTAGAGGGAAGGTTTTAAACAAGGACATAAAACTTGTTGGAAATACAGGCTGGCCGAGTAGCTCAGTTGGTTAAGAGCACAAGCTCTGAGCAACAGGGTTGCCGGTTCGAGTCTCACATGGGCCAGTGAGCTGCGCCTGAGCTGAGCTGCCGCTGAGCTGCCAACAGGTGGCAGGATGGCTCAGAGGTTAGAGCATGCCCTCTTAGCAACAAGGTTTCTGGTTCGACTCCCACATGGGATGGTGGGCTATACCCACCCGCAACTAAGATTGAACATGGCACCTTGAGTTGAGCGGCCACGAGCTGCAGAAGGGCGGCCAGATGGCGACTGGACTTCCAGTTGAACTAGCTGCACCCTCCACAACTTAGATTGAAGGACAACAACTTGGCTGTTCCCCTTCCCCAATTCCCAACACTGTTCCCCTTTCCCAATTCCCCAATAAAATCTTAAAAAAAACACAACTTGTTGGAAATAAAAGTATGGCATTTTTAAAAACCTTGGAAATAAATTGAAAGAAGGGAAGAAAAATGATTTCTACTAAGCTAGTTGCATGAGTTATAAACACACAAAAATCAGACATCGACCCTCATCCTAAATATTGTTATTTAAAAGACTTTGAAAGACACCAATGTGGCAATTGTAAAATACGGTATTTCCCCAAACTTAGAGAGGCAGAAATTTAACACTTTTATTTCATACAGCTTTCTTTGCAACACTTAAATCTTATAAATCTGAAGAAAATTTGCTTGAAAAAAAGAACTTTAAATCTTAATTAAAGTTCCGAGAATAAGCATTTGAAGGGATACTTTATATAATTTTAAAATAAAAAGAAACTTACTTTTCATTTTGGAAAGGGAGCATTGTAATATTCCATTTTACCAACAAAAAAGGGACATTACAAATGAACCTCCATCTCCTGGAACTTTAAAAAATCTGCTTTTAAAATCAAGTGATGAAGCACAACATATGTGCAACCCTAAATGTCAGTATTAAGATTTTATTCTACCACATCCTTATTTGTAGCCTCTACCCGGAAACAGGCCCAAGCGCTGTTACTGATGAAACTGATTAACAGTTGGGGGACACAGACTGAAACACAAAGCAGTTACCCAAGAGGAATGCTCCTTCATCTGATGTTGGTTGCTGTGAGGGCCACTTGCATGACCACGCCAAAAGCAGTTTTGGCAGAGCTGGTAGTTGTGGCACTGCTGGCATCGGTACCGGAAACCCATCATACTCTCACACCGGCAATAGGAACACTCCACAGGATGGAAGACTTAGAGAAGGGAGCGAAAACAGGACAGGGTGAAGGGTGGGAAGAAGGGGGAGGACAACAAGGAGAAAGACATCATTTTCATTTGAGCATATATCGATACAGTGGAAAACCAAATCTAACATTAAAAAGCCAAGGTTAGAACAAAATTAGAACTAAAGATTCTAAATTGTCTCCTACTTAATATAACCAGCCACTTACTAGACTAAAAGGGAAAGAAAATAAATTAGAAAAACATATTTTCAACTTAGAATACTCCACTCCAACCCACCTTAGAAAATAGCCAATTTCTTTTCTTTAAAATGAAACTCATGTTTCTCAAAATTTAGGTAAAGACACAGGTAAGGAGGAGAGAGAAGACTTCACTCCAAAAAATCTTTTCGAAACCTACTGCTTTAAGAGATGTATCAGTGTTCACTGTATGCATATTTGTTTACTTGACTAACATAAAATCTGTGAGAGCCAGGACGATGAACTATGCGTCTCTGTTACCTGCAAATGGTATTTTACACAGTACCTTGGACTGAAGGCCTGCAAATGTTTGCTGAATTAAAAACTGCCACACACCTGAACATAAATGGTAACTGGGGAAAAGGCTAGGCATATTAAAAGAGTAGTTTTAGGTAAGAGTTCTAAGTAACAGCGTAAAATAAAGTACTCCAGGCCAATGAAGGGACAATGATTTGGAGGAAGGGAAACTCAAGTCTTCCTACCTTATAAAAAACTGCCAGGTGGCAGTCAGGACTCATAGAGATTATTGAAATTCTCTAATAGCCTGAAAGTCTAGTTCACTGAGTGGGAAGAGGGCAACGCACACCTGTGTGTTGTACACTGTTATGTATACTTTTAAATGTTGGTAGCATAGTTGTTTCCTCTGGCCATTCAATTATGAACACAAGAAAAGGAATTCAACAGGAACAGTATTCAAATCTTCATCTGAAGGACTCTTGCTAGCACTATATATACAAAGGCAGTCTTACCTCAGTTATAAAGATTTTTGTCCTGCTTCCAAAAATGTATGTTAACTAGGGAATCAAGATTCAAGAAAAATTGAGCACTAGGTGAGGAAAACAATACAACCAGGTCACTACAGACTAAAACAAATAGGAATTTCTTTTAAAATAGGAATGAGAAATCAAAAGGACATATTTCCTCTAAGAAATTCAAGCTTTGGTCATCAAAAAAATGTCTACGGAATCAAGAAAGTGCTAATAAGAGCCTGTGATCCAAATGAAAACAACACAACCTCGCTGACTTCCATCACAGACCATACTCCCAAGTCACTCTGGAGCTAACGATGCAGCCAACGTTTATAATTCTTCATAAGAAGTTTGCATTTATATTTAATAATATATGTACATTGATGTTAAATAATTAAATATATTCTGGTAACTCTAGTTGAACATGTGTGTCTATGCGATTTTCCTTGTCTTCTAAACCAGCAAAGAGCCAGGCTGAGTCAGTGGAACGTGTGACCAGGTGGAAAACAGAGAACCAGAAAGAGAAAAGGGTCAACAAGTGTGCTGGGTCAATTATAAAGAAGATCGGGTTTTGGCAAGAGTGTTTTTTCTTGGAAGAATACATAGGTGGTAGTTATCGTCTTATATATCATACACTTGGATTAGTAACCAGTATAAAAAGTACAACTTTTGCTTAAGCAAATAAATTTTGCCCTTATAAATAACATCAATACAATTCAAGTGATGAATTTCACAGAAAGAGCCAAAAAAACAAACAAAAAACTAGAAATACCATATTTAGAGTTTGTTTCCTGCCATAAAAATTAATATATATATAGATCAGTGTTAGTATGATAACATTTTATTTCTAGATGTTTCAATGATTTCATAATATTTCTCTGCCTCTGAGAAAAATGATATCACTAACCACATAAGAATGTAATCAATAACTACTACGCTACATACAAAGTCACGAAAATGTTCATATGAACAATACATCCTGACAAACAAGATTCTCTCTACTTGGTATAGCAGATACAAAACGATTTTATGAAAATGAATTGGATATGAAACTACTAAAACACTTAGGGCTATAAAAGTTGCCCTCATTAGAACTAATGGTACTATAATAATTTAACAATATAAATCTCTCTCCAAAAATCCTGTTAAAAGATTTAGCTGTTTTGGTCTTGTCAAGAGATTCTGAACCTTTAAGAAAATAATCCTGGGGCTGGCCGAGTGGCTCAGTTGGTTAAGAGCACGAGCTCTGAGCAACAGGGTCACCGGTTCGATTCCCACATGGGTCAGTGAGCTGCACCTGAGCTGAGCTGCCGCTGAGCTGCCGCTGAGCTGCCAACAGGTGGCAGGATGGCTCAGCTGGTGAGAGCATGTGCTCCTAACAAGGTTGCCAGTTCAACTCCCACATGGGATGGTGGGCTATGCCCACTCGCAACTAAGATTGAACACAGCACCTTGAGCTGAGCTGCCAACGGGTGGCCAGATGACGACCGGACTTGGAGCTGAGTTAGCTGCGCCCTCCACAACTAAGATTGAAGGACAACAGCTTGGCTGTTCCCCTTCCCCAATTCCCCAAAAATGTCCCCTTTTCCCCAATTCCCCAATAAAATCTTAAAAAAAAAAAAAAAGAATCTGATTCTAAGGTACTTGTGAACTAAAGCCATAGTTGGGCAAAAGACTGAGAAGTTTTAAAAAGTATGGATAGGAAGGGGAGAAAATAAAGAGTATAGAAGTGTATTTCGTTCTTACAAAGGAAAGAGGACTACTGTTTAGTGCCTCTCAGCCACTACTGGTTCTCTTATGTGCAGTGAGGAGAGGCAGACAAGGGCCTTGAGAGAAGGGAGGTTACATTGAAACACCACAGCGTTTCCTTTCATAAACTCAAACAACCTGAACAAGGAGATAAACTGATAGCAACAGCAGAAGAAATTAAGAAGATACTTAGAGGTAAGTACTACTTCAATTCCAAGTGAAACAAAGATTTAAGTGAAATTACTGAAAAGGATACTCAGGTACTGAAGAGTAATTCAAGGTAAAATAGTAAAAGAAAAAACTGAAGATATATTAAACTCAGTACTAAATTCTATCTTAGCTATTTTCCTTTAAACGACTCCAAAATAAATATAGTTTTAGTGATGGATATTACATATATCCAAGTGTTTAGGTCTATGATTTTTATGAATTAAAGGGAAAAAAGAAGCCATGGCTAAGCAAGTGGGCTGGAGCTGGAAACAAGCACCTGGAATCCAGCGGGAAAAGCCGAGAGTTTGAACCACGGAGTTTTATGACCTGATATTACTACTTCTTGGTATGTCGCCTAAGTAAAAAGCCCCCCACCACCTCTTTTTTTTTTTTTGAGAAATAAATATTCCTCTTTTGAAAGCTAAAAATCACAAATTCAAACGACAGAGTGTCAACAAATGTCAATTGTAACTGTCAATGACAATAGCCAAGGGCATTACAAACACCATCAGTTCTATACTCCTATGGCGTCAGTTCTGCTTACCATTCTCAACATGGGCAAGCCTGTGCATGAGAGGTAGCCAGACAAGGCACTGGGGAGGAGGGTCGGCCATCATTGTGTCTAAAAACATATTTAGCATTATCTTCTTCTGTAAAGAGAAGAAAGACAAATACACTTCATATTCTTCAAGTATCTCTGAACTCTAAAAGTACATTAATTTAGGAGTCTCCCAACCAAGTTATAATGAATTATATGTGGAGTTTTATAGCAAAATAAAATACTTTACATTATTACAGACACCACTACACTATACTACACACTACCACTCTTTTCAAATGCATTTCCACATACATTATTCTATTTGAGTTTTAAAACTACTGCATAAGGATAAAAATTTTTTTAAAAAGTACTACATAAGGTAAATAGGTTAGGTATTACTATCTTCATTTTGCAGATGAGGAAATAAAGGAACAAAGCATTTAAATGACTTGAAACGGTCTCATCCAAATCAGACACAGGGCAGGACTAGAACTCAGGCGTCTTTCAAATTACTGTTCCTGCTACCCAGTGGGGGAGCACCCGTCCCACACCTGATTATAAAACAACAGCAATGAGAATAGGAGCTACGGCTGTCTGGTTCTCTACCATATTTCCAGCATTCATTCATAACAATGCTGAACACACAGCAGGCATTGAATAAGTAATTGTTGAATAAATACTAACGTGAGGGACAGGCACTCTTAGACATCATTTAACAAATTTCTCGTTTACAGAAGAGAAAACTGAAGCTCAGAGTAGTGAAATAATTTGCCCAAGTCACAGAGATAGTTATAAGGATGAGATTAGAACCTAAATATCCAAATGCCCAACACAGTACTCCCTCCATTTTACCATCTCCCTAGCAGGACTGCATTTTTTCTCTTCTATCTTTATTTCTCTCTTTTAAACAAATATATAGTAAACTTCCACTGTATAGGAAACACGAATATACTTATGTCCCATGTGGACACAGAAAATTAGAATACGGTCTAGGAAAAACAGTCATATGACGTGCATAGAACAGAGTCTCAACAATATTTCAAATTAATGAACTTTTTTTTTATTTCCCCTAACCCACAAAACACCTTTCTAGCTACAAAAGAAAAGGAAAAAGGAGGAAAAAGCAGTGCCATACAACTAAATGTAAGAGTTCTAACTATAACCTGGCCACCTGGGCCCCCACTTCGAACTTTATTCCAAAAGAAGAGCAAAAACAAAAAGGCAAACACAGGAGAATAGGAAATGCATAGTGCAATAAGTAGGCCTCTTCCAAGCCCGGGTCCCACCATTCGAAGTCTGGAGGGTGGGGGAGACACCGAGTACTGGGGGTAAGGTGAAGCCCAAAGGCACCCGGAATTTCAACTCACTCTCTCCCAAGTACCTGTGTTCTCAATCCCACCACTTTACTTGAAGTGAAAAACAGGGCATAAAAAAATGTGTTTCCCCATAAAACTTTAATAAAATACTTTATTTCAGGGGGGGGAAAGCAGAAAATATAAAATTGGTTAGAGTTCACCTAAAGATTTTGCCAGTTGATTACAAAATAACTTTGATTTTTACCACGAATGTATTCCACACAAATTGGAAGCAAGGAGTGCAGGCAGCGCGGTGTTTCACCAGGAGGATGGCGGCCTCCAGGATTTCCATCTGATCCACCATGATACCTTCCAACAATGGTTCCACCACACAAACACCAGGCTACACAGACTAATTTCTGTGTATCTTTTTGGCAACCATGAGACTCCTGATTCCAGTATATATAAATTGGAAGTCATTCTTATTGACAGTAATCTTTAAAAGGAGAAACTGGTAAGTAGGGAAGAAAAAAGGGAGGTAAAGTAGATGGCTGAGCAAGAAAGAGGCTTTTGCAATAAGAACCTGACAAAGATGAAGAAATATGAAGGAAAGTCTCAGGTCCAGGACAGACACTGTAGGCCAGCACTGACTAGGGGAAGGGGAAGCTCTGAGACATATGCAAGAAGGTGACAACAGTATGGTGTCATCATCCGAAGGCCCTTTATATACAGCTGTGCATTGGTGGTGAGGCTTGAGAAATGGCTAATCAAATAGTCTCAAGTTTTCCATCTCAGGCACCTAAGTCACTGTTTCTGAGGCCTCAGAAGAATCTGGGAAGAATAAATGAACAATATTAAAAACAAAACCAGAAAGTCACCAAACTTTTGAATGGAAGTCCAGACACGGAAAATGCCTTTTATTATAAACAGGTAAATAACTGCAACAAATCAAAATGAAATTAGGAGTGTCTGCTTCAAATTACTGACAAAGAAGATGCTAGAAAGTTTTTCAGCTAGTAAGAGGTAGTAAACAAAAATTAGATGTATCATATCATTTATTATAAATTTAATGTTTATTATTTCTATATCTTCTATTTGTTAAAAACTTCCTTTTTACAGATCCACTTATAATCTTAATGCTACTTTCTCTAAAAAGTTTTGATTCTCCCATCATGGAGGTAATTTTTTTTTTTTAATATTCAAAATGAAAAGAAACAGTTCTATTTGATATCTCAAAAGAGACCCTCATAAATTCCCTCAGGATCGGTTTCCAAAAGTTGTCTAAGGTCATACTGTAATTAGAAGTCATCCAAAAGCATGAGAAATGAAACCAGAACTGTGTCCCAGTGCTCTGTTTGCCATTAGCCATGTGGTTTGGGGAAAATCACTTCATATTTTAGTTTCAGTTTTCTCATCTTTTAAGAGCTAGAGCAATGGTTCTGGAACTGTGGTCAGAGGCCCCCCCCTGGAAGGTCCCTTTTTAGGGAACCCACAAGGCCAAAACTATCTTCATAATAATACTAAGACATTACTGACTTTTGCAATCTCATTCTCTCATGAGTGTACGGTGGGGTGTTCCAGCAGCAACATGGCATATCCACAATTATCTGAAAAAGTTATTAAAATACTCCCTCCCTTTTCCAACTATACAGCTATGTGAGGCCAGATATTATTCCTATACTTTAATCAAAACAAAATATCACAACAGATTGAACAGATAAAGCAGATGTGAGAATCCAATTGTCTTTGAACCAAATCTTAGAGATTTGCAAAAATATAAAACAATGGCATTCTCATTAAATTTTTTTGTTTTACAATAATTATTATTTTTCATTGAAATATGTTAACATGTAATAGGTTTATCATTGTTATCTTTAATGGTTTAAAAATGATTTTTAATTTATCAATTTTAACTTTTAATATGGAAATATTGATAGATATAATCCACATAAACAAAACCTCTTTGGGGTCCTCAGTACTTTTTATTGTAATGAGGTCCTGAGACCAAAAGTTTAAGAACTGCTGGGGAAGAATGCCAAGCTCAAAAAATTCTGTGACTTACTAAATAACTGTGAAAGATAGGTTGGCTCTTTTTTCTCCCTTTTTATTTTTATTTTATTTTTGCTCGAGTCAAACACATTCTTTGCATTTCTCATTTTTACTGCACAATATTTATAACAAAAACTATAATAAAATTGCAAATAATGTAAATTCCCACAATTCTCATTTTTCTGTATTTCCCTCCAAATGTCTATATGTCTGTATGTAATTATGTGCATAGGGTAGATAAAAATATATAACCTGTTTTTTCACTTAACATTTTATTAAATATTTTACTGTTTTGCTATAAGGTCTTCATTTCTAATCATTTTAACAGCTGCCTGATCCACTCACTGAGCAAAAACGCCATGATTTGTTTATGTCTTCCTCAAACACTGAAGCTGTTTCTATCTGTGTATGTATGCACTCTCATATTTTTTCTTAGAAGAGTGTTTGTTTGTTACCTACCTACCCGCCCTTTGTCATTCTAATCATCAGTATTGACAATGTATTGCCCTAGATGCCATTCTCACTTCCCTCCCTCCACAGTTGGCTATGTCTTTCCTGTTTTAAGAGAGAGGAGGAAGCATGTCTCAAAAATGAGAAATCCAGTATTACTAAAATAACATGAGAACACAAGTAAAATAATTTAGCATTAGATTACCATAGCTACAATTTCCAATCTCATCATTTCCATTAAAAACTCCAATTTCCTTATGGGCAAGAGGTAAATATTTCTTATCCATTGCCCTAACACTTACTTGGTAATCAGTTAAACAATGTATTACATTTAGTTAACAGACTGGAAAACAACATTTTAAAAAACTTTCAAATACAAATGTTTTTATGCAAAGTTTTTGTGTAGAGTTATAGAAATATTTTCCCTGACCAGGGCAAACATCCATTAACTGGTTATAGGACTAGTGTTGTATAGGTCAGCCTTTCAATTATTATTAGACACTGAATTTGTCCATATCGCAGATTCATTTTGGACTTTGAAAATCAGAGTACTTTTAAATGAAAAAACAATATATTGCTGTGCTTTTTACCAGAGGTATTTTTATATATTATAGCTAAAAGAAACATTGGAAAAACTCTTCTAAAATTCTGAAACACTTCATCTTCCTCATTGCAAAGATCATTTCATTTAAGAAAATCATAGAATATCAATGAAAACAACATTGCAAGTACAGGCATAAGCTTTAAGCTTTCAGTCAGAATTCAAATCAAAGACACTTTCTTCTGCCTATTTGATTTTAAATCATTATTCAATTAATCCAACAAATACCTAGTAAACATCAATCATTTTCCAGACACAGTTATCAAGAGGACATAAAGTTGAAGGAGACCAAGGTGCATCCCTCCAGGGCATAAGTGAGCTGGCTGTAACATGCCACGGGGCTGCAGAAGAGGGAACAAAGTAATCCTACATTGAGCAAGTCAGAGCATCAAAGAAGAGGGGATATTTTAGCTGGGATTTGAAATATGAGGCCTGTTGGAGGAGAGAGATGGTCAGGGGTTATGTGCATTTCAGTGAGAGCTAATCACATAAACAAAGACAAGAAGTACGCTACTTTTGCTAACTCCAAATGCATGTTACTCAACACAAGAGAAATGCAAATCAAAACTATACTGAAATAACATTCCTCATCTATCAGATGGCAAAAATTCATAAACTGTTGATTTTTTAACATATGCTGTTGGCAAGGCTGTGGAAAAATACATGCCCTTATATATCGCTGGTGGGAATATAAAATGGTCCAGCTCCTGTGGCACTGTGATGGTATCTAAAAAGAGCCCATGGCACGCTGAGGGAGGGGTCTGAGAAGCAACGGGAATGCAGGTGAAAAGCGAGGCTGGAGTTAGATAGATAAGTACCATCTGGTAGGCAATAGGAGTTAGGAAATGCTTTTTTAAGCAAAACAGAGACATCAACAGAGCTGAATTTTAAAATGATGACAAATTCAAATTTGCTTATCATTAAAAGGAATAATAAAACAAAAGCAATATCTGAGCAGGCATCGTCCTCCTCTTTAGGCCATCATTAGGCTACTAAGCAAAGTGACTAGGAGGACAAGGTCCTCAGTTTTTTGGCAAAGAATTTCTCTGCTTTACCTGAAAACTAGTAAACCACAAGGATCTAGGGTAGGAGGGGTGTCAGACATCCAGAATGGGAGTGTCACCAGTGAAACCAGTGACCACCAGAGAAGGGGCTGGGCCAACAGTACCTAACACTCCATGTCCAGCAGGTTTCGGCCTTGCCCATGGGTCAGGGAACCAGGACTGAACACACCAGGATCTGTTTTCAGCTCATGAGTAATAACTGGAGGGGGAGGGGGTGCTTTTCCTACAGCATATATACAGGAAACATTGCTACCTAACAAAAACCTATTTTAAAAAAGGAAACAATATTGGAGCCACTTATCATGTCTCTCTAAGGAATCATTTGGTAAGACACTCTTCCTCCAGAGTCCCAACAAAAACAAAATCTCACTTTTTCAATCCAATTAACGCCAGTGACACAGGCCTCATTACTATACACCTGATCATTACAAAGTCCATTTTATATGTTGTGTTTCATCCAATCTATGATACCATCAATTGTAAGATGTGCCACTATTTTTTCTACCACTAAGAAAAACACTCAGCTAATTAAACTAACTCAATGACTTAATTAAATGTAATACTTCATGACATGTGAATCAGTCACACCAGCCTCTCCGTGAACTGAAATTTCTCTCATCTATTCAGAAGGATTTAGCCATTTTGCCAACCTTCATTTGCACTGCTTGGTCTGACAGAAAATTATTTTGGTCAAATATCAGTAATAAAAAAATAATACAGCACCATCTATTTGTGGATATCTTTCTTTAAAGAAAAAATGAAAAGGTTCAGTAAAGCACCTGGTTCTTGCTTTATATGAAAGTAAGCAATTCCTCCAATGAAGAATATGTATCTTACTAACATCAAATTTATCCCCTTCTGTTGTATGTGTCCATGGCTTTCTGTGCTTACCATAACTTTTTGTTCAATGCCAAATTAGAGTACACTCTTTCTGAGGACATTTGAAATGATAATACATGCAGTACCAAAAGTGGACATGATTCAGTTGAAGTGACAACAAGAACAGCTATGACCAAGTTCATACACCCACAGGAAATGACAACACATCAGAGCCTTTGCCTGGCCACTGCAATTGTAAGGTGCCATTGGCTGTATGAGGCATCCTGATGTCAGAGATGTTAAGGTGTGAAAAATGTCTTGAAATCAATGAAACATGGTAATAACCCACACAACACTAGGATGGTAATGATGGGTTGCTACCGGACACTGTAAAATCTGCTTAATTAGAATACCTATAAAATACACATACACATATCTATGTGCCAGGCAATCCTTGCCAAACTTTAGTCAATGTCCAGGAAAACAAGGTCAGAACATTCAGAAAATGTCTCATTTGAAAGATACAGTGGGGGGGAATCAAGTCATTTTGGCATAAAGTGGAAGAGGAGAGATTGGTCAAAGTATAAGCAAAGACCATCTCCAGGCATGAAATATTCCTGCTCTCCTGAAAATCCACCAGCAATAATGTAACTCCATCTCTACTCACTTCCACCTCCACTATGAATCAAGGAGGGTGTGGCACAGTGTCCAATGACATGCCAGCAACAGTATCTCCTGCAACATTTACTGAAGGACTGCATCTACTTTCCTATCTTACTCTCTCCTCCCTCACTCTGAGTTCTACTTATTCAGGCTTCCCTTTCATAATGACAGGATCAAATTTAAAGTCCTCTGCAGGGTGGACTGAACTCTTCATACTAAAGTCAACATAAACCTAGAAAATAAATAATAAACAGCAATGATCTTTCTAAGGAGAAATACAACACATCCCCAAACTCTGAAGTTTGGAAAAACTGGGGAGAAATTTAAATATATTCACTGCTTGTTTTTAATAATTTTTATGACTCTAAAGTCAGGCTGTTAGTTTATAAATACTGAAGACTCTTATTATTTCCAGACTACCCACCAAAAGATGCAGCTTGAGGTGCTACATTAACATGGTGATTTATTCAGACAAAAATCACAATCACAAATTTACAACTAGAATTTCTCTATCATTAAATTCTAGTTTTATTATGGACACCTCAGATGCTTATAAGAGCATTCCTGTAAGAGTTTTTTATGGACATACATTTTTATTTCACATGGGGAAAAATTTAGTAAAACTGTTAAGTGAAGGGCAGGTGTCTAGTTAAGTTTAAAATAAACCATCAGGGCTTCTTCCAAAGTGGCTTGTATGCGAGTTCTGACTGCTCCAAATCTTCGTGAGAGTCACTGAATTTTAGCTATTCTAGTACATGTGTTCTGTTGACTTATACATGTTTTTTTATACTGTATAAATTTATATTTTTATACTGTAATTCATACATGTTTTTTTAATTTTGTTTTTAAAACTACTAAACTACATAAATCTACATCCCTTATTTTGGGTTAGTTTGTAATTAATAAAAATTTTATGAGGAGATACATTCAGACTACATCAATAGCCTATTCCCATTAATCCTTCACCCATTAGTTTTAATGTAGATTTTTTTTTAATTCCCTGCTTTCCAGAACTTTTTCCAAGTGTAGCATGAAACTCCTTTTATCTCATCTCTACCTGAAAAAAATGGATGCTACAGCCAGTGTCCACTCTGTTGTGAGTCCTTTGAGGCACAGTTAAAATCTTAGGAATACACTCACACCAACCTCTAGGGAAGGACAACAAAAGGACACCCACAAATAATGAGGAAACCAAATCTATCTTTCTTTAATATGAAAATGGTAATGTACCTTCGAGGGATTTTGGCTTGGCAGTCAGGAGCTGTATAGTATTGCTTGTCTTCGGTGCTCAGGAAACAATGATCCAGTATTGTATAATAGAGTTGTATGTCAAAATTCCGGTATTTCATGGTTTAAAGAACTCAGGGAGAGTCATAATATGACCAGTACAATAACAAACACTCCATCTTGAACATTTTTCTTTAAATTTTTAGTAATTTAAAATATTTCAAATGTTATCTTTTTTCAGAAAAGACTCCCCTCTACCCCCTCAAAAAGAGTTCTCAAGTGAATTTTTTATCCCCCTCTTTTCACCCCCTCCCACCCCCATCCCAGACTTAAAGCTCTGTTCACTCTCCTACTCAGGATCTGCAGGCCTAGCCTGAAGCAATCTGGTGAAATCTGACAAGAGGTGGAGGGGTGGATGAGTGCTCTTCTAGTCCTAGGTTCTGTAACACTGTCCTTACCTGCTGTGGAAAACAGGTGCGGACTGAGTGCTCTGTGTAACCAAAAGATGGCCCTTCAAAGACAGCTGTTGGGAGCTTCAGAACTTCCTTCAGAAACTGGTCAAACTTGCTAAATATCATTAAGCCATTGGAATCTGACATCTGGGAGAAAACATCTATGAGAACAAAACCAAATAAAGTCAAGCTATAAAGAAATATCAACTTTTTATAAATGGTTCTATGTCATTTGCATACCAGTCAAAAAGTATCACTAAAAAATACCATAAATTTATTATGATTTTTAGTTAACATGTATTCTTATTCTTATTAACACTGTGTGGTTACTTTGTTGATGAGGCCCCTCTCTCCCACCCATCTAATATTCTACCTAAACATCAAACCAAATAACCGCTCATGTATGTCTACCTGCATACTCTTTTTGAGTGTACATACTGGGTGATGTATAACTTTTTATTTATTTATATCTCAGTTTGTTCCAAGAAGAATTTGTAGCAGCATATCTTTATCTCTTAACATTTATATACGCATCTATGTTTATATAAGACACATGCATTGTTTGAGTGTATGAATATATTAGCATATTGGTGATGGGGTATGAAAGAAATTGTATTATATTTGTATATTCACATAATAATGACATAATATAGCCCCATGAAGGAATAAATTGGGAGGAAGCATATAGCAAGTTTAAAATACTCCATCTAGTGAGTCCAATTAGAATAAAAGGAACTCATATAACCTCTTCTATCACAAGATACTTTTGACACTGTGAGATCCGATTGTTACATAAAATCTCCGATTGTTACATAAAACCTGACCCAAACAGATGGGAAAGAAGTCTCCATTAATATTACTACGTATTAATATTTCTTAATCTTCATGGAGAGAGTTTCCTGTCTCTAATTACTTATTCTTCTTATCTCATCCATAGTTGGGGAGAAAAAGAAAATCATCTAGGAGCTCAAAAACAACTTGACAAAGAAACATGACTTAAGCTTCTTTTCAAACGACTGAGCTTCCTTACAAACAAATTGGTGTGAGTTAAATATGCACATACAAAAATATCATTTCCTGAGGCCTTTCCAAACATAACAATTTGAAAAGTCATATTCTGTATTTTCGTAATAAACAGGATATTTAGAGACACATATGTAATAGATTTATGTAATGTACATATATGCATTATTCTTTGGGTTCAGTTTGGGGAAGTTTTTCAAAAGCACTAGGTATAGAAAAAAAAATTCAAAATACGTTAATCAAAGAAAGATAAATGCTAGATTACCAACTCCACAGGAAATTATCAAGAGAATAAAAATCTTCAGTATATCGTCTCATGCCAGCTGCTAGTTTGCAGCTGAAGGAAAAGTAATAAATACCCATACAGGTGGGAAATATCCAACAAGATGCTAAAGATGTATGATCCTAGTGGAAAGTAAAATCAATTAACTAGCCAATACTGTGCATCCCAAATTCTCATTACGTGGTCCAAGTACCAAGCACTCTGGTAGGTGTTTTAAAACATAACAAAGGATGATACATGGTCCTGAACCCCCAAGAAACTTTCAGTGTAGCTGGAAAAATAAGGTACATATGAAACAAAGAAGAATTAAGTGCTAAGCTGAGTTTCAACAGAACAGAAAGAAGAGAGACATAAAGATGTATTTGTTAAGCCTCACCATTTGCCAGGCATCACAATAGGTAACTATGGCTGAGTCTGCCTGTAGCCACCCAGTATTCTTATCTCCTTCTTCCTTAGTGATAGAACATTAATTTTATTTTGTGCAGTGATGTACCCAACCAAGAGATTAAACTTCACAGCCTCCTTTTAGTAAGTTGTGGTCGTGTGACTAAGTGCTGGCCAATAAGACTATAAGCAGGGGGCCAGCCGAGTGGTGCGTTGGTTAAGAGCTGGCTTGGGACGCCAGAGGGCCCCGGTTCACATCCCACATATGAGGGCCAGTGACACTGCCCTCTACAGCTAACATGCTGAACAACAGCTCAACCTGGAGCTGGGCTGCCGTGAGTCACCGGCGACAGCACAGGCTGCAGCCCCTGCTGCAGTGGGTTGCGATGGGCTACTGTGTGTAGCCAGCAGCCAGCGTGAGCGGCCAGCAGCCGCAGTGAGCTGCTGACCAGAAGCCAGTGACTGATCTGCCTCGTCCAGGAAGAGCACAATGATGGTGCCAACTTGGGCCAGTGAAACAACGTCCTCCACAACTAGACTGAAGAACAAAAGGACAGCAACTTGTCTGTTCCCCTTCCCCCAATTCCCCAGCACTGTTCCCATCCCCCCAATTCCCCAATAAAAATCTTTAAAAAAAAAAAAAAAAGACTATAAGCAGAAGGGTTGTGAGAGACTTCTTGGTAGGCTGGTTAAAGAAAGCTGGCTAAGGGTCGGCCGAGTGGCTCAGTTGGTTAAGAGCTTGCTCAAGAGTTTGAGCTCTGAGCAACAGCAGTTCGAGTCCAGCCCGAGCTGAGCAGCCGCTGAGCTGCCAACAGGTAGCAGGATGGCTCAGCTAAAAAAAAAAAAAAAAAGAAAGCTGGCTAAACTAGAAAGCAGACCCTTTTTTCCTTCCTCCTTTTGCAGTCTGGAATACAGGTATGATGGCTGGAGCTCTGGCAGCCACCTTGGACTACATGGGAATCTAAATTTTGACATATAAATCATTCACTACAATCGTAGAAAAGAAAAGGCCTGGGTCCCAGATGAACATGAAGCTACCATACCAGCCCTAAACTACCTACTCCTGGACTTCTTTTACATGAGAGAAAAATAAACTTCAATTGTGTTTAAGACACTATTATCCTAAGTTTTTGTTTTCATGCAACAATCCCTACTACTAAGCGCTACTATACTTTACTAAACATTACCTCATTTTACTTTCACAAAAAGATGTGTATGTGTGTGTGCGCACACACATGTGTATGCACAAAATTATTTAAAAATTATAGCTAAGGAAACTAGTTTAGAAAGGTTAACTTATTTAAGGTCAAAAAGTTAGTAAGTACCTAAATCAAGATTTAAACCCACACATATCTGGGTTTAAAATTCCATTACATCACAGTTCTTCAAAATATAGTTTGGAATAGATACAAAAACACATAGGCAGGATTGTCAAGAAAGGAATTTAGAAGCTAGGCCTTGAAAGATAGGATTTGGAATGATGAGATCAAAACAGGTTGGGAGTGGGGATTTGGGGGCACATCTGGCAAAGAGAAGGATAAAACTCTCTATGACAGGGATTTACAGAGTGTATCTGTTAGTGACGATAAGCAGGAAACAGTGCCTTGACGAGAATAATCTATGATAAAATATTTATATTGAGAAATAAAGGTAAATAAAGATTAAGAAAAGTAAGTTATGAGTGAAAACTTTAAATAAGGAATGCAATTTGGATTTGATTTACAAACTCTTAAGTAGGAAAGAAATATTTAGAAAGCTAGGTTTCGTGAAAATTAGACTGTTAATGACAGGCAGAATGAACAAAAGAGGAACAGGACTGGAGACATCAGCTAGAAAACCTTGCGAATAATATGCATAAATGAGGAAGTGAGAGTCTGGGTTACAGTAGTGACAGTACTGGAGTGGGGTCAATGCCAAGACATTTCAATGCAGGAAACTGCGTTGATGATAAGCTAGATTAGGGGGTAAAGGAATTTAAAACGTTAGGATCCTTCTAAATTTCTCGCTTGGGAAAATGCCGAAAACCTTGAGTGAAATAAACAAATTGAAGATAATGATACTTAGCTTTGAACCTAACTGTATTTGAGCTCATCGGCAAATCTCCATGTGGAACTATCCTGCAGGCAGTTAGAAACAGTACTGGGCCATAGCTCAAAACTGCAGATACAGTGACTAAGAGGCCCCCTGAAGGAGGGAAGAGCATAGTGACTTAATTTTTACATAGCTGGCTGAGATTCTTATAATGAGGACAATAATGATCCATTAAATCTGAATGGAAACAAAGGGTCAATGTGGGATGAGGCACTGCTCAGCACCCTACTTTCCGATTCTCGCTCACCAGCTGAACCCTGATGGTGTTTAGAATGGCAACGTGCTCCACTTAAAAAATGACTTTATAGCCTCTTTCACACACTGTAACTCTGGAGTGGATTTCTGGAAAAGCTTCTGCTTTCCTGATAGGGCATCTCTTTCTTCTTTCTGCTTGGAATGAGGACATGAGGCCTGGCGTAGAGCAGTGGCGTATGATCTCAAGGAGGACAGCCATACGGCAGAGTAGGAAGACTGGAGGAGCCCAAGTCTTTCATAACGTCCCTGAGTCATGCTACCAACTTTCAACTTACCAACCTGTGGACTTATTTTTACATGAGAATAATAAATCCCAATAGTTTTAAGCCACTGTTAGTCAAGTTTTCTGTTACCACTTAATTATTCCCAATAAACTAGCAAGTTATTAACTTGTGGCCATGAATGGTAGAAATATTCAAGACCAGAGACTTGAGCTACCAACTCTATAAATACACATACCTATGATTTCACAATCACAAAAACATATGTGAATACACCCACAGCAACAAATCTACACCTCACTCAGAGCAATAAAAGGAAGTGATTGGGTAGTGAAATGACTAACTTCCCTACTCTATAAAGTATTATTTTCAGTTCCATTTAGTTACTATGTCATATGACAGATGCAAAGTAGTAAGATTTTTTTAATTCAAGAAAAAAAAAACACCTTAATAGGCCCATATCGCAATAGTAAAAGAATAAGCAGAAACATGTTGGTTGGTTGGTTGGTTGGTTGGTTGGTTGGTTGTTTAGCTGGTTGGTTTTAATAATACAAATGCTGCTAGACCCCAAAACTGAAGGCATAGTTAAATAATTACTTAACGTATAAGTCAATACTTCTTGTTAATAGATTAAGAAAGTATTTTTTTTAGATAAGACTTCTGTTATCTGTAAGAAAAATACTGAAAAATGACTACTATTTTTGTTATCTTAAATGACATATAACAATGAATCTAAGTTAGTGTGATTTACCATATACACAGATAAAAATATCTTACCAAAGAAATAAGAGGCAATATATAGTCAATGATGTTGTAAAAACTAGGTATGTTGTCAGATGGGTACTAGATTTATCGGGGGATCACTTCATAAATTATATAAATGCCTAACCACTGCCCTGTGCAT